TTTAAAGCATAAGCAATACAAATAGAACATAAAAAAAATAATACATTAAAAACACTAATACATTTTTTAAAAAAAATAAAAAAAAAAAAAATTTTTGCATAACACCGAATTATAATAACATTAATAGGCCCCAAATAAGTCATCTTGCTCTTCTTGTAAAAGCAACTCCGAAGAAACCCGAGAAACAGACTCACGATCAGGCGTAGCTTGTCTTGATTGTTTACAATCAAGAGGATGTACTGCAAGTTCATTATCTATTATTAATTCCGCAGAATAATAACTAGGACCACCTGCTCGAAATTACTCTATTTAAATAGAATAAAATAAATAATAAATATTAATGCCACTTTTGTAATAAAATGATTACTTACTAATATCTACCAAATATTTATCAATACGATACAAAATGCAGTTTTCTTTACATAAAACATTTTTTGAGCATGGGTTTAAAAGAATATCACACACTGCTAGTGCAAACGCATAATGATAATTGGTCAAATCCAGGACGGTAGCCATGCTGAAAGCTGTTTCTGCAATTATACTAATCCAAAGAAGGCCTTCGTCATTTTGCTCAAAAAGAGCTCGATAACTATCCTAGACTTGTGGGCTTTTCTTTCACATGATTATATCAGCAGGGGCTGCGTTGTTGTTAAGCGGTGGTAGCTTCTCATAGCTGAAAATCTTCCAAATGGCAGAGCGAACATTTTGTAGTGCCGAATCTTGATGGTTCTTCATTTTCTGCAAAAGCTGTTAAAAGATAATTAAATAATTAATTAAAATTAATGATTAAAATACAAATATGTAAATGATTAAAAATTATAATGATTAAAATACAAATATGTAAATGATTAATAACGATTAATAACGATTAAAATACAAATATGAGAAATTATAATGATTAAATAAAAATTACATACCAAACTGCACCAGCCACTGTGAAATCTATTAGTGAATTCATTTTTACTAATGCTTGACATAAATTCAGAGAAGTTGTCAGTCAGATACTTCTTGAGAGTTTCTTTTAGTACGATTTGAGTAGGATAGACATGCTGGAGAAAAAGACGTTTTACAATACCAGTAAATATATTCTATACAAAATTTTAACATATAATTTTAATATAAGTTTCACATACTCTATATTATACATCATCCTGGTTATATCGACTAAAAAAAATAAAAAATTGTTATATATCAAAATATCAGTTTAAGCTGAGGCATTCTTATATTAAGTATAAAGGTTTTAAAATATCATTTTAATTTCTGTATATCCAGATGTCGGTATAACCAGAGTGGTGTTTGTTGGCAAAAAACTTACGTCCAGCACTTTTGGGAAGAGATCACTTTCTTGATCTACCTTGGATATCGTATTTCGTCTTTAACTTCTTGAATATTTTCGCTTAGTTTTTTGATGAGAAGGTAGAGTTGCTAGTTTTGCATAAACAATTGTTCGTATATTTGTTGACAGGAACCAGAACATACTTAAAGTTTCATTTAAATAGAAAAAAAAAAAAAAATCAAAAAAAAAAATTAAAGTTCTGATATCTGGGAAAATCAAAAAAAAAACTATCGATTTATATACCATGATCATGATAATCATCACATAGTTCAGTCTGATCATTATGTGGTTGATTATCCTGTGATTGACTCTGATTGGAGGTTTGATGATCATCATCACATGATCTTGCCCGTGATCTGGCCCGTGACCCTCTGGTTGGGGTGATAATGATCGATTTCGTTAACTAGAAAGTGATGAATAATGTAAATGATGTGAATGATTTTCATTATAAGAAGATGATGGTTGTTAAGAGTGTCGTGAAAAAGATGATTGTTGGGATTGGGTGCATGATGTAATTGAGGTGTTAGTTGGGATTGGGTTGCTTGATGTGATTAAAAATAGTGTAAGAGAGATGTTTGTCAGGTTTGGGTTGCTTGACATAATTGATTTCGGTTACTTCCTTTTCTACTCATTCTTGCAAATATTTCTTATATACTTGCAATACTTTTAAATGATGAATCTGAATCATAACTATCATCATTATAAGTATTACATGGTTGGTGTGGGTCAGCGATATTTTGAGATGGTTGATGTGGGGCAGTGATATTATGAGTTGAATAGATGAGAAATGATCAGGATTAAGTTGTATTGATATATATAGCAGGATAAGGAAAAAAGTAAGTTGTCAGGTAAATTGTGATAAAAAGTAAGTTAATAACGGAAAATAAGTAGTTGAAAGGAGATAGGTTGTTGAAAGGAGGTAAATTATTGATGGGAGATAAATTGTTGAAAGAAGGTAAGTTGTTAGTAGAAGTGTTGCTGATAGGAAAATTATTAGAAATGTTGCTAATAGGAGAATTATTTGATACATTTTCATTAGAAGAATTATTCAAAGTATTGCCGATAGAAGCATTATTAGAATCGTTATTAGGAGTATTATTAGAAGTATTATTCGAAGTGGTATTAGAAGTAGTATTCAAAGCATTATTAGAAGCATTATTAAGAAGGTTATCTATTTCAAAAAATTCACAAAAAATATTTTATCTTTTCAAACGAAAGAGAAATATATTTATATATATATTTAAGAATTAATAATTTTAATATAATGATATTATTTATTATATAGGAAAAAAATGAATGTATACTTATCTACATATGTATAATCGATTTTTATCTAAAATTAAATATGTAAGAATTAATATACGATAAGGTTAGTCGTTATCCCTTAAACTGTAGATTTTAGCAGGCAAATTTGGCTACTAAAATTTTAAATTTTTGTTTATAATCTAATTTTG